AATGCAAAATGTCTGGGAGAGTAGAGCAATGAATCTGCATCAAATATTCCATTAAGTTTCAACATTTCTCCATGGAATCTACTTCATGAGTCAGAAGGTTGCCACTGTAGGCAACTGGTAAATAGCAGCTTCAGCAGATTGCACTATTCATGCATCATGTCTCATGCACAGTGATTTGGCAAAACATTAAATCACCCAGGTCACTCAGCTTCCCTATAGCCCACATTTGGTGCCATGCAACTTGTACTTTTCCCAAAACTAAAATCACCTTTGAAAGAGAAGAGATTTCATACTGTTGTTGACATTCAGGAAAATATAATGGGGCAGCTGATGGCAACTGGGAACACTGTGTGAGGTCTCAAGGTACCTAGTCTGAAAGGGACTGTGGTGTCATTGTCCTATGTATAGTGATTTTTGTATCTCCTTCATAAATATCTTTAGTGTTGATATTACCTGTCTGGATACCTTCTGAACAGAATTTCATTAATGTTAAAAAATTATATCTCATCACAGCTCCTTCAAGTCAGGACTAATGATGTGCTTACTAGAAAAACAAAAAATAAAAAGTAAGGACTGCAAATATTAAAAAAAGAAGTAAGGGTATAGTGTGAAGGAGTTGCTTTATTCTGTAGATTGTTATCAAGTTCCTGAATAACCTTTTCCTTTACTAAAAGGAGAAAGTGAGACTGAGAATAGCTAATTTAAGAGCAATGTCTTTGTTTTGGGATGCTGTGGCATGGAAGACCCTGACTGATGTAGGACCCAGAGCTCACTGTGGAGCAATCACGGATGGCTTTAAATGATACAGCCACACAGAGCTTATTCCTGAGAAAGAACACTGGTAGCCTAGTGGACTGGATAAAATCCACCCAAGGTCTGTTTACAGCTCCCCCTATCAATGACACAGACTCATTTCACTTAATAAATTGTTTTGTCTTTTTTTGTTCAGAGAAGTTATATCTGTCTTCAACTTCACTGATTCAGTCTTTCGTCATACAGTGAATTTATCATTTTAGATATTGTACCTTTTCATGCTAGTGTGTTGCTTGATTACAGTTTTCATTTCTCTGCTAAGATTCTCAACCTTTTCACTCTTTATAATGATGTGTTCCTATAAGTTCTGCAACATATTCATAATGGTGGCTTTAAATTTTTTGTGTTTTTTTTCCCTGCTAAATTCAATTTCTGAAACTTCTAGGCTAGGCACTGATTTACTTTATTTTATTTAGTTAGTTTTAGAGAGAAGGGACAGGAGAGAGAGAGAGGAAGAGAAACATTGATACATGAAAGAAACATCAATTGGCTGCCTCTGGCACACCCCAAACCAGAGCCCCAGCCTGCAACTCAGGCATGTGCCATGTCTAGGATTTCAACTGGCAACCTTTTGGTTTGTAGGCTGGCACTCAACTCACTGAGCCACATAAGCCAGAATTGGGGGCTAATTTTTATCATCTGATTTATTTATTTTGATTATGAATCACTTTTTTGTATTTTTCACATATTTCTATCTCTATAAATATATGTCTATAATACATTACTTCATATAAATATTGAAATACTTTGTAGAAATCCTGGATTATATTCTTTCTTTTAAAGAGCTTTTTATGTTATATTCTGGTAAACAATTGTATCCCTAGCTGATTATTTTAGTACTTGAAGGCTAATTTTTGAGTTTTCTTTTAGTTTTGTCCTTAGTCTTGGAGAATGGCCCTTACTCCGTGACATGTTTATTTTCAAAGATATGATATATCTGGGATTTCAGTTGTATGGCCAAGGTTACTGAAGCCTCTCTGGTTAACATAACAGTCCAAAGACTTCTGCAATTGTGACTTTTGTATTTTCCACTGAGCTTTTCGCTTCATAGCAGCTCCTTTCTCTAGACATAATGGAGTATTGCTCTGCTCATGCAAAGCCTCACAACTCCTTTCTTTCCTATATCCTGTCGCACAAATTCTTCCTGATTTACCATCTCAGAAATCTAATCTCTTCTATTTAGCAACCGTGTCCTTCTACTTGGGCTTCTCTACCTTGTACCACAATAGGGGAAATGCCCCCACTAGAGAATCAGGGCAAATCTGAGTTTGGAGTTTCTTTTTTCTAAAGTGTTTTAGATAAAAAGTACTTTATGCTTCCTGCTCTTTTCTAAAGTGTTTTAGATATAAAACACTTTATGCTTCCTGCTCTTTTTTTTATGTTGCAAAAAGCTTTATTGTTTCTATTTGGTCCACAGCATGAGAGAAGCTCCAAGTTTGTTAAAAGGCTGCTTAGTGATTTCAGGGAGAGAGAGGCTCAGGCTGAAGTCAGACACCAAGGAGATGCAGGGGTCTCCTCAAAGGTTTCCAGGCTTCAAAGGTTCCTTCCCAGTTAGGTTTGAGGGCAAGCTTTTCAAAGATATACTCACCCAGCCCAGCCTGGGAACTATCCAGCCTCCTTTGATTGGTCAGGTGGTTGCTCATCTTCTGGAAGTGTTTCAACTGCTTACCCAGGAATTGGTTCTCCAGAAAAATCACAGAAATGGGGGTTTGTGTGAGCACAACCAAGGACATACAGATCCAAAAGAGCCCTGAACAGACTCTTGTCCATGACCCCATGGCATCCTGAGTTTAATCAACTCATTTTGGGGCAGCTTCAGCATGTCCCAGAAGGGGGCATGACCACTGCACTGGTTTTGCATCTTCAGGATGCTGGGAACCCTTGAACTTCTCCTCAGCCAGCTCTTAGAAGAAGTGTCCTGTGCCCTCTATACCCAAATCATTGTGGTTGAAATAGAAGCCCCCAAGAGAGATAGGTGTAGGAGGCCTGCAGATGCAGGTTGACCAGAGAGTTGACAAAGGCCTCCACCTCTGATGAATTTGGGAGCTGATAGTTGCTTGGCAATCAGGAGTTAACCTCAAAAAAAGATGTTGGCTGGTCTTAGAGGCCAAGGATGGGTAAGATGGTTTTGAAGGTTGTGACTAGAAAAGAGGTTAGAGGGTGGTCAGAGGGTGGAAGGAGGGGCATCCCTGGCTCTGTTCTGTCCAAACACTGTTGAAGCAAGAGAAAGACTCAGCAGATGGATGAAGGCTTTTTCTCCTCTTTTTTCAGTGCATGAACATAGTTTATGTTTTATCTAACTTTATAGTGTTTGTAGCAGAAGGCAATGTGCAGTGCCAATGACCATGCCATAGCTGGAGGTTGAAGTCTTTCCCAAGCAGACATATTTGACTCCAACATACATGGTTTTCCACTATGTGTTCCAACAGCTTTTATTATCTAAGCTTTTTGAATACTGTAGGCTCAAAAGTCTCTGGGGTGAAACTGTTTTCTTGCCTTTTCAACCTTCAGAGGCCACCTGCATTTGTTGGCTTGTGACCCTTCTTCCACCTCAAAACCGACAGTGTAACATCTTGTTGATTTCATATCTCTACCTCTCATTCTTTGGACTATTTTGCTTTTTAAAATTTATTTTTATCTTTTTATTGAAGTATAATTGCCATATAACACTGTGTTAGTTTCAATATTTATAACATTGCTAAATGATCACCACAATAAATTTAGTTAACATCACAATACATAATTATATATTTTTCCTTTAATGAGAACTTTTAAGATCTATTAGGAACTTTCAAATATGCAATGCAGTGTAGTATTACCTATAGTCACCATGCTATACATTACATCCTAATGACTTATTCATCTTATGACTGGAAGTTTGTACCTTTTGAGCCCCTTCACCTGTCTCATCCACTCCACGAACCCTTGCCTCTGGCAACCATCAATCTTTTCTTTGTATATATGAACCTGGGATTTTAAAAAAGGCTTTGTTTTGTTTGTAGAATCCACACATAAATAAAATTATATAGTACTTGTCTTTCTCTGTATAACATTACACTTAACATAGTGCCCTCAAGGTCTATCCATGTTGTCTCAAATGACACTATTTTTTTAATAGCTGAATAATATAACATTTTCTTTATTCATCCATTGATGAGCACTTAGGTTGTTTATCTTGGCTATCATTAATAATGCTTCAATGAACAGGAAGGGTGCATATATCTTTCTGAGTTAGTGTTTTATTTTCTTTGGATAAATTCCCAGAAATGAAATTGCTGAATTGTATGGCCTCTCTCTTATAATGACCCTTATAATTACATTAGCCCCAACTGAATAACCAGAGTAATATCCCCATCTCAAGATCCTTAACTTAATTATATCCACAAAGTCCCTTTTGCCATGTAATATAACATATTCATAGTTTCCAGGGACTAGAACATGGTATCTTGGGGGTCATTATTTAAATTAAAGTAAATTTTTAAAAATCTTTGAATTTCTGCTTTGATAACCCACCATTATGACAGGTGGAGACGATGATCCTAACCTAACAAAGTAAACAGTCCCTTCTTATAAATGATACAGGCTCTTTGGTGGTTATAAAGAAAGTAGACAAGGGAATTTGTCTTCATTTATTTGAGTCTGTGGGCAAATGTTTCTTTCTTGGTTCTTCCTTATTTCTTTTCAGAGAGTCTCACTGAACAGCAAAATGTTAGCACCATTTTTACCCCTGCTCACCAAGTTTCTGGAAGCCTGCTGAAGTCTATTGCCTTCCTTCTGACCATTCTTTTTTTTTTTAAAGAAGGAGAGAAACATCAATGTGTGGTTGCCTTTCAATGTGGTCCCTACTGGGGACCTGCCTTCAACCCAGGCATGTGCCCTGACTTGGAATTGAACTGGTGACCCTTTGGTTCACAGGCTAGTGTTCGATCCACTGAGCCACACCAGCCATGCCTGACCATTCTTATGGTTAACTAGTTGTTCATCACACTGGTATCCTATAACTTTACCAGAATTTGGAATATGCATGGATACTAATGATACAAAGGTATATAAAAACAGATGAATACATCTAGTTGTACTTATACCAAAATTTATATAGACACAGAAATGGAACGGAAATTAATCGAAAGGAAGATTTTATGGTAAGTAGCAGATATTTTGTGCTTTTATTTATTCATTTATTTTTTAAGGGAGAAGGTGAATGTAGTTCCCCACTACTATAAATTATGAAGTTGAGTTTCCCACATTTGGGGAAATCTCAGGGGTCGACACATCTGTAATGCAATGGATAAGCCTTACCTTGGGAAAACCACATTTGTGATCATCGTATCTCCCCTGCCTCGTAAGTATTATTCATTTAACTTTTAATTCAAGAATTCTTATTAGGCTTTTAATATGTGCCATACATTATGATGGATACTAAGGAAACATATGAACATTTCAAACTATATCCTAATGAAGCTAGCATTAACAGACCAGACAAACAACAACAATTGCAAAGTGTATGAGAATTGTTATAAAGGCTCTCATGTAAGGTATAATTGGGCAATCAGAGATGGGGCTTCTAATATAGATTTGGGTGTCGGGTATACAGTTTCCTATGAAACCAAATGTTAAAGAAAGTACAGTCATTCTCCAGGTGAAATCAGACAATGATTTGTCAGAGAACAGTAATGCACAAAGGTGTGGAGTCCAGTGACTATGGAGAAATGCTTGTCATTGAGGATGACAGGAAAAGACACTCTGTGGTGATAACTAGTTAAATGATGCCATTGAACAAATAAAAACCATTAAAGGATATGTTAAAATTTGGGGATTTAAATTATTTTATTTAATATGTTATTTTATCATTATTTATTATTTATAAAAATAATAAAAGAAGAATTGTTCCTAAGTATGGGAGACATAAAGTGAGTATCTCCTTTGGGTTCTTGTAGTTTCTTAAATGGGCAGTAAGTTCATTAGAATATCCCCTTACTCTTCACAGTACATTCAGTATTGACTTGGAACTATAGTCAGATCTCAATCCATAAAGATTCCATTCTCTTTCATTGGACTGATAACTGGAAAGAACACACAGTTGAAGCTGAGGCACACCATGTTTATTATTTTACTAATATTTAATTTCAAGTTCTATTTAAAAGTTTATGTAAAATTTCCTACATATTTCATTGGAACTAAAACCCCTACTCCTACTATTCTTGTAAACAGGTGGTATTATCAACAATCACTTTTTCTTTAAAGTACCACTTTGTATTGCTACTTATCTTCCAATCTCTAAATTCTGTATAAAACATTAAAAATAAAAATGCTTTTGAGTTCAGTAGCATGAGTTGGTATTTGAAGGTTTTCTTAATATAGTGGAAAGAGGTCAGACTTCAAAGTCAAACAGATTTGGTTTTGAATGTCAGCTGTTACTTAATGTGTGAACATCAGCAAATCACTTCACTGAACTTCAGTTTCTTTATCTCTAAATTGAAGATAATAATGCATGCCTTGTTTAGGTATTATTTGGAATAAAATAATATGTGAAATGCTAATACTAAGTAAAATTTAATAATTGATAGCTATTTATTATCATTATGGTCATTTTCCACATTACAAAATTGAGTCTCTTTCCCCCAGGAACTATTAATCCCTAATCCCAGTTTATAAAGTACTCCCATAAACTTGAAGGAAAGGGCAGTCACTAAAATAATTACATGTATAAATTTTCTTTCTGCTAGCTATCCTAGTGATTAAATGTATTTTCATATACAAATTAAAACGTTGTATACTCATTACTTTAAATACAGTTTTCATTAGGTAACTGAAATGCTTATTAAAGATAATATAAGGCTAAAAGGAGAATATTATCAAAAAAAGTTACTGGGTATGTTTTTTTAAATTTATTTTTAGAATATGGCAATACTGGATTTCCACCAAGATGGAGGCATAGGTGGAAGCACTGTACCTTCTCACACAACCAAGTTTAAAAACAACAAAGTTTTAGCAACAAAAATGCAGCCAAACCACAGAAAATTGAACTATATGGAAGTGTGACAGCACCAAAACCTTCAGCCAAACTGGTAAGAGGGGCAGAACCAGCAGCAGAGCGGGGTTGGGCAGGAAAGATCCACCAGACCAAATTGGGCACGTAACCCAGTTTGGGTTAGCCCGGCAGGTGTGCCGGCAGCCATGGGCAGATCCCAGGTGTGGAGTAGCAGTGGGCGGACCCACTGAGGGTGCAAGGCGGTGGACCCACTGAGGGCTGACCATGGTCACACATTCACACACAGATAAATTGGTGAAGGAGCGAGCGGTGAGACAGACCATGCAGACCCCAGTGGCGGGAAGTGGCAGAGGGGACTGCTATTGTTCCTCTCTGACCCCACCCCCACATACAGCATCACAAACCAGCGACCTGGGTAGCCACGCCCTGGTGAACAATTAAGGCTCCGCTCCTCATATGTAACAGGCATGAACAGATCAAAACATGGCTCAAGAACAACTCAGAGCCCCAGAGCCGATAAATCTAAGCGATGAAGAAATAGCCAAACTTTCAGATGCACAGTTCAAAATACTGGTGATCAGGATGCTCACAGAACTGGTTGATTTTAGTCGCAAATTAGAGGAACATATAAAGGCTAAACTAATTGAAATGAATGGAAATGCACAGGAAACCAATAGTAATGGAAAGGAAACTGGGACTCAAATCAAAGGAGTGGACCAGAAAGAGAAAAAAAAGGACCAAACAGAAAAGAATGAAGAAACAAGAATTCAAAAAAATGAGGAGAGGCTTAGGAACCTTCAGGACATCTTTAAATGTTCTAACATCTAAATTATAGGGGTACCAGAAGGGGAAGAGAAACAGCCATGAGTGAAAAACTTATTTGAAAAAATAATAAAGGAGAACTTCCCCAATCTGGCAAAGACAATAGAATTCCAGGAAATTCAGGAAGCTCAGAGAGTCCCAAAGAAGTTGGACCCAAGAAGAAACACACCAAGGCACATCATCATTACATTAGCCAAGATTAAAATGAAGGAGAGAATCCTAGAAGCAGCAAGAGATAAGGGGACAGTCACCTGCAAAGGAGTTCCCATCAGACTGTTAGCTGATTTCTCAAGAGACCTTACAGGCAAGAAAGGGCTGGAAATAAATATTCTAAGTCATGAAAGCCAAAGACCTACATCCAAGATTGATCTATCCAGCAAAGCTTTCATTTAGAATGGAAGGATATATAAAGTGCTTCTCAGATAAGATCAAATTCAAGGAGTTCATCATTATATGAAAGCCCTTATTATATGAAATGTTAAAGGAACTTATCTAAGAAAAAGAAGATAAAAAAGATGAACAGTGAAAGGACAGCAAACTCACAGTTATTAACAACCACACCTAAAACAAAAGCAAACTAAGAGGACAGCTAGATCAGGAGCAGAACCATAGAAATGAAGATCACATGGAGGGTTAGCAACAGGGGAGTGGGAGAAGGAGAAGGGGGAAGAAGGTACAGAGAATAAGTAGCATAGACGGTAGGTAGCAAATAGATGAGGGAGGGCAAGAATAGTAGGGGAAATATAGAATCTAAAGAACTTGAGACACGTGGTCATAAACTGAAGAGGGGGAATGGTGGGGAAGGGGGTGTGCAGGGTAGAGGGGAATGAAGAGGGGAAATAGAACAACTGTAATGGCATAATCAATAAAATATATTTAAAAAAAGAAAATATGGCAATACCACTTTTACTTTTGACCATTTACCATATATGTAAATATTTATAAACTTTATTCAATATTTTTGTCAGTATATGTACTATTGTATAACCATATTCTATGAACATTTATGGTTCTTCTGTCTGCATTACAGGTTTGAGTTAAACTTTCTTTAAATGCCATTTTAATTATACAAGAAAAAATCAAGTATTATTAAGTTTTTTTTTATTCTTGAGCTAAAGCAGAAATAATGACAAATCAGAAAATGCCCTCTTTAAAAACTGAAACCAATGAAAATCTATTTTAAAAATAAAGGACAACTAACTATCCATTTACAGAGTACTGTATCTCCCCTAAAGAGACTTGAAAATTCTCCAATTGTTCTTAAAATTAGTGAAATGTCTTGCTTCTATCTTCTCAGTGATAATCTCTTCCTTACTGACTCTCTCTCAATGTATGCACATCTTCCTTTACCCTCCCAATTATTGAAATAAGCAAAATCATTCTCTGGTCCCCCATTCCTTTTCCCAGGTGACACCCCAGCTCTTTCCTGATGATCTTCTCAGTATTTTCATGTATACATTCTAGCTCTCTGTTCATGCTTTCTCCCATCTCAGCTTTCTCAGAGAAGTCTTCATTGGCTAGACTAATTTTCAATTTCCTATGTTTCAGCCAACGAGTCCTCAGCTTACCTGTGCTGCCTCTGCCTTCTCATCTTTCCACACCTTTTTTTCCATGCCCAGTCTAAACCATTCCTCAGGTGAATACTTATTCTGGTCAAAGAAAAATGTGTAAAGAACACTAAAGTATTTCTTATTAATTGAATTAATGTATTTAACACTTCCAAACTCCATGTAAATTGCTTTTGGTTGTTGGCTATGAGGTTCACTGACTGTTCTTGGGTCTTTTTTTAGAGACTTGAATACTCTGGTGTGTAGGCCACACTATACTCTTAATAGTGGTCATTTTCATGGAGCTTTAATAATTATTTAATGGTAATTTCTCAGACTTTGCCATTCCAGTAAGAGGTTATATATCATAGCCATACTTGGGAACATTGAAGCTTTCGTGTAAGCAGAAAAGAAACATTAAATAGGAAGGAAAGAAGAAAGGAGATAAGGGTCTCTAGAGAATCAATAAAAAATAGAGAATGAGAGAACTGTGTCCTCTGTGTCCTCTCAATCAAGCTGCCATCTAAATGTATACTAACAGTCGCTGCTCCAAGCAATGTTGTTTTCTTACTCCATTGACTTTACCCTTCAGTGTTAGAGCTTAAAAAACACATAAAAACTATTGAAATTGTTTAATTATGTAATATCTGAGTCTCATCAGTCTTTCCCTTGGATTTCTTTCATATGGGAACATATGGTCTTTTAATCATAATACTTTTTCCACCTAATTCCACCCCATCCTTTTTCTCTGGGTTTTTCACTCTGATATAACTTCAGCCTGTTCAGGCATTAAAAGGTATAGTATAGATGCACTACCACCTCAAAGGCTTTTATTGTTCTTGCTGAATGTTTGAAGCAAAGACAACATGAAGCACACTGTGTGATATTTGAAAAAGATATGGTATACCAAAAACTGTTGCTGTTTAATCCCAAACAGCTCAAGTATTGACCCAAAGTATTTTGGATCTGTGTAGCACTCTAAAACCACT